ACTCAAAATGCTCTGACTCCAAATCCAGTTCCTGGTACCATGCTGCTTTTCTCAATTTATTTAGGGGTATACAGCCAGTCAACTGCCATACTATTCAATTCTTAAGGATTCAGAGAATTATCGGCTGATCAAGATGGAGGTCAGTTGTAACCCTAAGTCCCTTTCCAGAGAAGGGTGAAAGAGAGATTTATGAAATACGTGTTGCAAATGTCTAGGATTTAATCTGTTGTATCTCCTCCCTCCCTATATATTTTGGATAGTGTTATATAAATTAACAGCAGCTAGGTGGTACAGTGGATATAGAACTGGGCCTGGAGTCAGGAAGACCCAAAGTCAAATCTGGCCTCTGATACTAGCTGTGTGACCCTGGCTGGGCAAGTCACTTAGCCCTCTTTGCCTCAGATGAGGAAATCTGTAAAATAAGTTGGAGAAGGAAATGGCAAGCCACTCTAGTATCTTTGCCATGAAAACTCCAAATGGGGTCATGAAGAGTCAAACACTTCTGAAACAGCTGAACAACAACATAAATGAGAATCTCAGTTCAAGATATCTATGTTTAAAAGATTTGGGGCAAGTGCGATAGAGGTTGAGGGCTGGGATATATATGTATATGTGTATAAAAGCAAGAGACTCACTGCCTTTTGCCGAGTAGCAGCTAAGGTCTCCTGTGGAACATCCATGCTATCCTGGTTTACTCAAAGCCATTCCATTATCTTGCCTTTACACAGCTCATCCTCCATGACTGGAATATTCTCTTTCTTAACTTCTATCTGTTAGAATTTCTAACATCTTTCAAACTTAGCACATTTGTCACCCCTGTATGCTTTCCTGATCCTCCAGCTGCTTTCTCTCTTTTCAAATTATCTTTCTGTGGATCTGAGTACCTATATCCCTCCTAGGTGAATGAAAACTCCTTTAAGGGTGGGACTGTTTTCTTTGTATCCTGTCTTTGTATCCCTCCCTGTATCTAGTACAGTCCTTGTCTGCTGAACTGTTTTTCAGTGCCCTGGATCCAGGATTGTCTTTATTCTGGATATGGGGAAAATGGATAGGGACCTTATGTGTGCTCCACCCCCTTTATCAATCAGTCAATGGGCCTACTATGTGCCAGGTTATATTTTTATACACACACACACACACACACACACACACACACACACACACAAAGAATGTATCAATCCATATTCTCATAGAGCTTATATTCTAATAGGAGACAAATACACATGTCAGGAATAGATTTTATAGAAATAAAGTGTGATGGTGTAAGAAGCTTCCACATGCTTGAGAATGTGACATTGGGAAATATTCATTAAGGAATCTTTTGGGACTTTGAGTTACTATCCTGTAATTGATGATGATATATAATGACTTTCCTTTCATTGTTAAAAAAGCTCTTTTGTTATTTTGTGGTCAGCAAGCAAGTTGCAAGGACAGACGTTTTCCTGGCTTTCTAAGCAGTGCGACAGCAAGTTTCTCTGATAAAGGTCTTATATCCAAGAATTGATAAAAATATATAAAAGAAGAACTATTTTCCAATAATCTAAGCACATGAACAAGCAGTTTTCAGAGGAAGAAATATGAACTATCAATAATCATATGAAAAATGTGCCAAACCTAGTAATTATCAAAATATAAATTAAAGTAACTCTGAAGTTCTCACACCCATCAGATTAACAAAGGTGACACATAAGAGGAAAATGACAAATATTGGAGAAGCTGTGGGAAAACAGGCATGCTAATACATTGTTGGTGGAATCATGATTTGGTTTAGTCATTCTAGAAAGAGCTATGCTCTAAAAGTCACTAAACCTTGCATACCTTTTGACCTGGTGACACTATTACTACTATTACCCTTTGACTCCAAGTCTATTACCCTAAAGAGATAAAAGAACAAGGAAAAAGACCCATAGGTGCAAAAATATTTATAACTGCTCTCTTTGAAGTAGCAAAGAACTGGAAACTAAAGGAAGTGTCAGTCTATTGGGAAATAGTTAAACATATTATGTTATATGAATGTATCAGTAAGATTATTTGTACCTTTTTTTTTTAAAGAGGGTAATCAGTGGAACATGCTAGATATACAACAAACACAGTAGTGTAAAGTTTGGGAATTTAGTTAGTGGTGTAAGACTCATTATACCACAAAAACCTCTGGGAAAATAGCAGGCTGGCAGAAATTAGATTTGGACTAACACCTCACACCATAAACCATTATGAGCTCCAAATGAATACGAAAGACATACAAAGAGTCACATCATAAACAATTTAGAGGAGCAAGGAAAAAAATTACTTTTCAGATCTATGGATGTAGAAAGAGTTCATGACTAAACCAGTGATTGAGGGGATCATATAAAATAAAAAGGACAATTTTGATTATATAATATTAAAAAAGGTTTTACACAAATCTAATACAGTAAAAATTATATGGAAACCAGATAACTGGGAAAAATTTTTTGCAACATTTCTCTGATAAAGAAAAATAGGCACATTAGTGCACTATTATGTTATTATTATGTGTTGTGCTTAATTTTCCCAAGCCTATATGACATTTGCCATTTTCTTCCTTGGTCATTGTGGCTGATAGGTATTAGTGCACTATTATAGGGGAGCGAGGTGGGCAGTGGATAGAATGCTGGGCCTGGAGTCAAGAAGACATCTTCCTGGGTTCAAATCTGGCCTCAGACACCCGCTTGCTGTGTGATACTAGACAACCTTAAACCCTATTTACCTCAGTTTCCTCATCTGTAAAAATGAGCTGGAGAAGGAAATGGCAAACCACTCTAGTATCTTTGCCAAGAAAATGGGGTCACAGAGAGTTGGGCGTGACTGAAAAAGACTAAACAAAGTGCACCATTGATGGAACTATGAACTATTTGGAACTAAGTCTAGAAAGTAACTAAATTGTGCACACCCTTTGACACACCTACACCACTAACTGGCCTATACCCCAAAGAGATCAAAGAAAGAAGAAAAGAATATATATGCAAAAATCTATATGCAAAAATATTTATAGCAGCTCTGCCTCTCTCAATTTTTATATGTGTATATGTGTGTATGTATAAAAGATATATATATATATATACATATATATATATACATGTATGTATGTGTGTACGTATGTATGTATGTGTGTATGTAACCCTAAACTAGAAGGTAAGAGGGTATCCTTCTATTAAGAAATGACTAAACACATTGTCATATGTGAATGTGATGGAACCCACAGAAACGATGAAATGGACAATTTCACAGGAAACTGGGAAGATCTTTGTGAAGTGATACAAAGCAAAGTAAGCAGAACTATGAGAGCAATAAATAAAATAAAAATTATATTATAGAGAAAAATAACTTTGAAACACTGTAGAACTCTGATCAATGCAATGATACTCCATGAATCCAAAAGAATGAAATTGAAATATTCCACTCATCTCCTGATAAAGAGGTGATATATTTTAAATGCAGAAGGAGATATAATGGACAAATTTGTTTTGAGAACTATATTTGGGAGTTTACTTTTTAATTTATCAATGAGGGTTAGTAGGTGGGATAGATTAAAAATATTTCTTAATTGAAAAAAAATATTGGTTTTGTCACTTAGCATTGTTAACCTTCAATTTTCTTATTTCTAAAATGAAGGAATTAATCTAGGTGCTCTCAAGGTTCTCTTAATTTAAAGCCCCTTGGGCCTTACCATCTGACCTGTCACTGCACTCTTATAACTTCTGGGCCTTTCCTTATGCTGGGCAGCTGAACTTTCTTTTATGATGTCACATTGTCACTTGGAGGTGACCCTGGTCCTTAAAAGCTTTACCAGTAGAGTTCTAACTTGGGCAGATTCTATCAGGTCAGATCCATTTTCATTAGAGCTTATTTTTGGATTTTCACATGCCTAGACCATGACTCATATTAGTAACATGCTCCAAAAAACAAACAACAGCAACAACAAGAACCCCTGCCATTTCTACACGTGGGATGGACAAAAAGAACGCTACAGTAAGATATGATAGTATGGCTATCCCAGCCACCTCATGACTTTCCCCATTGTGGTTTTGATAAATTGCAGGTCGGCATAAGAAATTAAGTGGGAATTTGGGGGGAATTTTGTAGAAGCCGCAGATGATATGTGAAGGTCAGAAGATGCCACAAAGCCTAGGACCAAATACTTAGCCCACAATTTACAATAAGGCACTGTAAACACCCCATTAAAGAAAAAGAAAAAATTCAGACTTCTTCTTTGGGATGAAGGTGGGGCCAAAAAAATTTATGTGAATTTTCCAGATTGAGGCGATGCCTTGCCCCTATCCCCCGAGATGTGGAAGAGATAACTAATATCTTAAATATTGTAGTCATCGTTTGTTCTACTCATCATACAATTCAAATTTTGCCAAAATCACATTGAAATTTTTATTAAATAACTTCTCTGCTTGACCCATGAAGACATTCCATATTTATTCTGTGCCAACTCTTTTTGATACTTTTTATGCCTACTTTTAGAAATAAATTCTAAAACAATTAGAGAACTTTCAGTCTTTAAGAAGGAATGAAATTTTTAGTCTGATAATATGTCTTTCTATTAAAAAAAGATGGAAATGCTGGCACAAGTACCTTAATTATATATGCTTTAGTTCCACCTTTATTCCCCACTAAAGGCTTTGATTACTGGTTTCTTTTTTGGTGTTTCCATCTACGATATCTCTTCCCTACTAGAGGGAGAGACCATATTTTTCTGACTTTGTATTCTGTACATAGTTGGCACACCATAAATATATGTTGAGTGAATAAGTTATCTCCCACCCTGTTCTGGCAAATGTTGGCTTTTACTAAGGACAAATTTTGATGAAACTTTAAAATAACCCTTTCTCCTGGCAGGCGTGATGTTCATTTACAATCTGTTCACGTTAGCAAACTGTCAGAAGATATGGATGTTCACACAAATGACACTGTCAAATAAAGAGGATCTACTACGAAGGGACATCAGCAAGATCCAGCTAAAGAGCACTTACCAGAAACAGGTAGGATAACATTATATTGTGCATCTGCAAAGGAAAGAGGAGAAGAAAAACGTTTACTGCTGAACCCCTGAGGCTGCTAAATAAAACAAGTGTTTCATGCCCCCTACCCCACTGAACTTTAACCAAAGAGACACAGGAAAAGTATGACTTAAGTGTAGGTGCTTGACTCATTCTTTTGGAAGTAAGGGCTGTCACAATATGTGTCCTGGAAGAATGTGACTCACTGGAAGTGGGGCCAGACTTTTGGATAAGAAAAGCCCTGGCAAACACATGACAGAAGGGGGTCAAGACTCCAAATAATGTCCTATTTGAAATGCAAAGCACCCCCAAACTTCTAAAAGAAGTACACACAGTACAACATGAAGAGTTTTGTCATTGGAAAGTATCCTCTATTCCTCTGTAGTGGGGATCTCTAAGGAGATGCTATAATTTGATGGCTCAATCTTATTCTGGAACCAGCCTTGCCGTGAAGGTTAATAAGGTCAGCTTTTTTGTTTCTGGAAGATGTATGCCCTTTTCCCTGTGGACTTGGCTAAGTTATTCCATAGAATAAAGACTATAGTCTTTTTATGGCTGTGGGAATACCCAGGAGCCAAAGGGAGAGAGCTAACTCAGCTTTGACTCTGCACCGGGATGTAACAAACAACATGCAAAAATTGCTTTGCCCTAGCTATCAGACCAAATTTAAGTGACAAGAAATGTGTAGCTAATCTTTCTTAAAGTGGAGAGGAGTCAGTGGCTAACCTGGTATTATCCCATGGGTAGTGGGGGAGGATTGCTCCATGGTCTGTGCTGTTGTTTGAGCCAGGGCTGTGAAGGACCAGTTTCGGGTTGTTATTGTGACTGTTGCAGAAGGTGGTTCTGATGATATGTCCTTGGAGACTGGCTTCAAGACCGTACCTGCTAATGCTGGAGATGCTGTGTATATGGATGATGAAAGGGAGATAGAGGTTGACACCATGACTGTCTCTGTTGCCACTGTGGTGTCTGACTTGGAAGCTTCTGGTTCTACAGTGAAGCCTGAGATATTGAGAACATAAATATTTTAAAGCAAGTCTCTTTTGTGGCAGGGTTTGGGGTGAAGGCTGATTTAGAAACATAATCCAATAATCAGAATCTAGTTCTGACCCTACGACACTAATCTAATATTAACCTTTGCTTTCTGAAACTAACCTTTTAGGACATCTCTTGAAGTGTAATATTTTATCTCATTTGGAATGACTACCAAAATTCTGGGAAGTAGAGAGGATCCAGTATTATTTATTCTATCACAATGTAAGGAAAAGGATACAAAGGCTTTAGTAGGTACAGACATGCAGCAAGAAGCATTTCTATAAAATCTGTGAAGCAAAGTATCTGGGATGATTTATTTAAAAAAACCAAACCAAATACTTACTATATTTACCAAAGATTCCTTGGATTCAGGTTTCAAATTTCTAAATTTTTCTCAAAACTTTGAAATAAAGGAAACCCTTAGCTGTCCAATTCCCCCAGCTCAGAGAGTTAAGTACCTTAAACTCTATTCTGACCTTATGCTAGAGAGATAAGCATGGGTTGGAAGACCTAGCTTGATCATTCCTATGTGGTACATAATTGCAAAATGCCAATATAATGGGATATTTCTGCCAGTTTCCATAAAAGGAATTATAGTTTAATACACAACTTTCTAACATAACCCCCCATAGTACCAGATAATGATAGCCTCAAATTTGCTTGCCGACTCCACTATGAAAGCAGCTTTTTGAAAAGCAAGTCCTTCTATGTCTCTCTGGTTATATCTATTTATGGCTTCTTCTGTATACTCCCCTAGCTATAAACTCAGTGTAGAATCTCTACTTTCTTTGCTACCACTCCCATTTATCATATACTGCCCATAGAAATGTGCCAAAGCACCATTTACATGATAAACATTCCTCCTCCATAGATATCTTAGAGTAGCAAAGTTAGCACACATATGGTAAGTTGTCTGAGTTTTTGACAGCAGAACTATCAGGCTTGGAGCTGAGGATTTTTGATCAAGACAAGGGTAGGCTCAGGAATGTAAGTTACATAGCAAAAGTGAAATCCACAGAAAATTCACAAACTTATTTTTGTTCTGTCTTCCTTTTTAAAAAAAAACAATCTGGAACTGTTTACTGTTCATTTCCCCATATATTCTTTGGTGGATGTACTAATGGATAGTGAAATAGATGGAGAAGAGGCAGCAGAAAAAACAAAGGGACTGGATGATATGCAAATACCATAATCTATCTCTAACTAATCTACAGTTGACTATAAAATAAGAGTATGACCAGCTAAGATTTGAGTGTATCATTCTAGAAATTTGTTAACTGACGAATCCTGAGAATGAACAGCCCTGAAGAAACAGGGATGGAAGATTACCCCAGGCTCAACCAAAATGCGATAGCATTTGTTACTATACCACATCATGGTAATAAACCAACTATCATAATTCTGATTTGATTTGAGCCACTCAACACTTCACTTTAAAATGATGCCAATTAGGAAACATAAAACCAAGATGTGAAACAATAGTCAAGTTCTCTTGATTTTAAAGAACTGAAATTAAGATGATGTTAGACCTTTCCTTTGGGCTTTAGTTGTAGCTATCTTTTTACAAGTTTGCTAAGTTTCCTAGGCACAATTTATGCATTTTATTGAAATGGAAATAAAGGTTATAGCAGGAGAAAGAGTCCTACAACAGCATCAGATTCAGATAGTCCTACCTTTGCCAGTAGGGGTGAGAAGTTCCTCTGTTGTTGAGGAAGTTGGCTTTTGGCGAACCAGGGCGGGATCTCCTAGAGAAGAAAATTAGATGATATTTACGGCTAAGGTCTGAACTATGGTAGTTCATAAATGTAATACCATTGTTATTTATTTTTTCTTTTTAACAAAGAGGTAGTGACTCTCTTTTTACGCTGGCTGACTTTAGAGGTACAAGTAATAAACTAAAGATTGCCTTGAAATTCCTCCAGCTGATTATAGGATTTTACTATTTTGGGTGTCAGCCATGGCTTACATATATAGATGGCAGTTTCCTCTGAAGGTAATACTACCAGTGGCAGGAGGGAGAAACTAGGAGTAAAACCTGATTTCTTTTACCAGGATATAAAAACATGTAAGGACTATGTGGGCTATAAATTCTGTTGAACTCTAGAACTCCCCTAATTATCCCAGTACTTGAACAGACCATCTCTCTTCATTTGTTCTTCAGCTGCTGTGATACTGATTCACATACCTGAGCAAAACCCAGCATCCTGCCTCTGTCCCTTTTCCTTAGCAATCTCCATCTGATGACTGCTTCTCAGATTTGTACAACCTTCCTGGCACTTCCGACCTAAATGGAAACCTCTTCTTCGTCTAGACTCAAGAAGCCTTATTCATATTCAGCCTGTGTCATGAAGGGACACACAGTCTGTAGCAAGTCTTTTCCTGGCTTTGTGCCTGGGTTAGTTCTTTCTCCAGCCCATGTTTGTCTTCTAAGCACTCTGGAGCCATTAACTTTCAAGTCATTTCAGTGGGACAGGTCGAGGGGCAGCATTATCTTGGACCTCATAGCAAGATGATGGCTGAGCTGGTTAGGATGAGTCTTCTAGCTGACAATTTTTGGGGCATGATTGCAAATCCTACATATTTCTGCCTACCTAATTCAACTTTACTGGCAATGAAGCTGGTGAGGGAATGCTGACAACAGTCCTATTAATCCATTAAGGCCTATATGTCAAACAAAGAATTCTTTCTAACAAGCCATCTGTACTTTGATCGTTCAGTGATTTACATAGCTTTTAGTATGCTCTTTCCCACTGACCCAGGAAAGCTGTTGGAAAAGGGGCCACTTACTGATGCATTTCAGACTGGGCTCTGTCCAGTGGGCAGTGTTCGAGTTCTGGTCAAGTATACACTGAATAAGGTTGGATGTCCCAGCTTGACGTTTGAAGCCTGAATTACAAACATACCGCTCCCTGGATTTCACGCTGTGACTCTTGACCTGAATATCTGCATGTTCAACAGATCTGGGAGTAGGGCATGTCACTTCTGTAAAAGTACAGAGAAGAAGGAAGATTGAATACTCAGGGCTATTGTTACTGTTAGACCATTAAAACAAATGCCCTAAGTTCTAGAAGGTTGATTAAAAAAAAGAAAAAACTTCTGTGGCCTAGAGGTCTTTCCAAGGATCTCACAGCCCTATTTTAGCATATCAGTGCTATACTGCTAGAAGCATTAGCACAGGGAAAGCTGCATAGTACAATAGAGGAAAGAAATCTAGGCTAAAATCCTGATTCAGACACTTATTAGTTATGTGGTTTTTGGCGCATCACTTAAACCCTAATTTCTGCACCTATAAAATGGAATAATAACAATTGTACCTACTACTTCACATATGTTGCAAGAAAAGTACTTTGCAAACCTTAAAGTGCTATATAAATACTTATGGAGCACTCTTCATTTGCAAGGTATTTGGGGAATACAAAGAAGAATCAGACCTGGTCCCTGCCCTCATGGAGCTTACTTACAGTCTAACAAAAATGAAGGAAATTAATATTACTTACTATTTTACCTAATATAAATTTCTATGAATCTTGGGAAAATGGTCATTTGCAAGATCTTGGTAACATCTAAAATATGTGTATTCTATGATGGTGATGCAAGGTAGAGAGTCTGATGTTATGAAAAGTCTGAAAGGGTTCCCTTAACAATCAGTCAATCAATAAACATTAAGTACCTCCTATATGCCAGACACTGTGTTAAGAGCTGGGAACACAAATACAAACAAAGACGAAACAGTGGTACCAGCTATGTTACAGCTAAACCATACAGACTAACTTCTATAAAGTTTTAGTCAATATTATTGGCTTATCCCTATGTGTCATGGGGTCTAGTCCGTGGTCACCAACAAAATTTTCACTGAAATCAAGATTAGTAAGTAAAGAGGTGAATTTTATCTGAGTGGAAAGATAATTGAATTGGCAAACTCTGTCCCTTCCCCTCAGCTCTACTGTAGAGAGATCATGTAGGAATTTAAGGTGTAAACTTTGCTGGTTCAGAGGATCTGGAGCCAGAAGGAACCTTAAAGGTCATCTAGTGTAACTACCTCATTTTACAGGTGAGAAAAATGAGGACTGGAGGGTTTTGGTGACTTCCCCAAGGTCACATAGGAAATTAGTGAAAAAACCAGAATTTGAACCAGCGTTCTCTGATTCTAAATTCAGTGCCTTTTTTGCGGAAGCACACTCTTCCATACCAGTGCTTTAAAAGGAATTTTATGTCTACTTAACTCTGCAAGCTTTTTTTGCCTGCTTTCATATCTACCTTCAATGATGGCTAACAGGTTCCCCTAGTTTATCTCCCACCATAATATGCCACTAATCTCTGCCACACAAGTATACTATTCTAGTCATATGGCCTGTCTTGTTGCTACCTGTCACTGATTCCTCTTAGGCCTTATCCTGACCTTTATACTGACTGTGTCCCCTGAGAGTCCTGTTTCATTGTTATCAAACTTCCTGCTATCTTCCTTCACTCATTTTATCTCCTCTAATTAACTAAAACCTGGGCTATCAACTATAAAGTTGGACATGTCTTCTCACTCTTCCTACCTCCCCACCCCTAATCTCTCAAGACCAGAGAATAGTTAGCACACTCTTTGCTTCCCAGTATCTCTGTCAATAACCTCTCATTCAAATCTTTTTTGGGAGAGTTTCATTTAAGGTTAATACTAGCCAACTACTCAGATCCCTTCCAATCCTCATTACTATCATCTATCAATTTTCAGATCGCTCATCCACCTTTCCTCTATTATAACAGCATTTGCTTCACAGTCTCCTCAGCACTCTTTTCTTGCCAGCATCTTTGTAGTCTAAATTATCTATCCTGAAAACCATTCTAACACCTTTTCCTCCAGACTGTTGAATTTATCAGTTCCTATGACCTTCATCTCCACCTTACTTAAGTTAATCATTGTGGTCTCCAGTCTTGGACCTCATCATCATTCAAAACTGCTCTACCTCCAAGATCCTCAATTCTGAAATTTCCTACTCTGACCATAGTTTGATCACTTCTGCCTCTTCGTCCTCCATCTCTTACTCCTTCCAATCCCAGTTCTGAGCTCTTATTATAGTATTCATCATTCATCATTTGACTGAATTCAATTCAGTTCAAACCAATTCAATTCAGCACTCACGTTTTTTTAAAAGTACCTACTAATGTACCGCTTTGTGAGTATTTGGGGCACAAAAATTAAAAGAGTTTACAACTTGCTAGGAGAGTGATAAGACATGCACGTAAATAAGGATAAAATGAGATAAAATGAGGGATGAAAAAGGAAAGATGAAGATAAAATATTATGGGAAAATTTGAGGTGAGAGAGATCATTTTAAGATGGGAAGATCAGGGGAAGATTATGGAGAAGGTGACACCTGAGCCTTCCTTTGAAAGAATAGAAGGATTTTAATAGGTAGATATGAGGTGAGAAGAATACACATTCCAGGCATGGTGGGAAGTCTGAACAAATGCACAGAGGTGGGAGACTGCAAGAGGAGATTTTGAAAATTCAGTTTATATGGAACAGAGAATACATGAAGGGGAGTAATGTGAAATAATGCTCACTACCTCACTGTACTTTTAGTTTATCAGTCTTGCTGTAGTTTAACTCTTCCCTACTTAGTTTTTACCTTGTGATTAGGCAATTCAATAATGCCTCTTCTCTCTTAATTGCTTTGTTCCCTCAATGTACCACTTTTTCTGTTCTAAAAATCTGCAATCTTGGGCAGCTCCTACCATCTACCTCTTCTGCTCCTATTCCTAAGCTGCTGAACTCTGCTGGAAGAAATAATGAAATCATTCCGAATACAACCACTACAAATTTATGTTACCTAGTTTGCTGCATCTGACACTATTGAACACCTTCCTCTCCTGGACACTTTGTCCTCTCTCTCTCTGGAATTTCATTACACTGCTTTCCTGGTTTTCCTGTCTAACTGCTCCTTCTCAGTCTCCTCTGCTGTCTCAAGCATATACCTCCTCTGAGTATAGTTCAGTTGCTCTTCCTTTCCATGTTTACTTAAGGCCATTTTTACTTCCTTATGTAGCATACTGGGGAATGTAACGTTAAAAGTCTCAAGCCTGCACCACTCTGCCCAACTGGTGTCAATCAACAACATTTATTAAGCACCTACTATGTGCCAGGCAGTGTGCTAAGTGCTGGGAATACAAAAGAGGTAAAAGATAGTCCCTGATCTCAAGAAGCTTACAATCTAATAGGGGAGACAAGAAGACAACAAATATAAACAAAGCGAGCAATACATAGGATGAATAGTAAGTAATTAGCAGAGGGAAGATGCTGGAATTAAAGGGAGTTGTAGAAGTTGGGATTTTAGTTGGGACTTAAAGGAAAGTAGGGAGATTGGAGGGAGATTTCCCAAAAAAAGGGATGGAAATTTAAACTCTGGATGGAAAAGTCTGGGGGGAAAAGTCCCCAAAGATGTGCTTTGGGCAAAATGAGAAGAGAAAGGAGTCACTTACTCAGATTGCCTTTCATCAACTGTCACAACTGCCTTTTGGGCCCTTAAACTCCTGCTACATACTTTTCTCCTCTTGTTCTCCTCTCTGTGTACTTATCCGTTTGCATCCTGCTCTCACACCAAAACTTTGATGGAAGTCTCTTCCTCAAGGCCACTGGAACTTCAAAACAAACTTCAAAACTTCAGCTCTTCTAAATGCCTGAGAACAGTCTAGTTTCAAGGACTTGGAAGGTCCTCCAAAGTCTCCGAGATGCCAGTAAATCTTCCAAAATCTCTGTGATCCTGAGTCTTAGCATGTAATAGCATCACTATCACTGATAGAGAAAATATCTTGACATGTTTTTATTCTCCCCCCCCCCCATATTTCACCTGTTTACTATCCTTATAGTTCCATCCATAAATACTCTTGGGAGTGATGCAGCTTTCTATCAATTTGATGTTCCTAACACTTCATAATCAACATCTCCCTCCATAAGATGGTACAAATTAGTTTATAGGACTATAAAGTTAGAGAAGAGCTGCCTTGGTTATCATATTTCTCTGCTTCACAAGAATATCAAGTATTTGTTGGCTGAAATAGTTTCTGGGCTTTCCTGATCACCTCACTGGTTTCTGTCAGTTAAACTTCACTAAAAAATGGAGGTAATTTGTGTTGATATCCATTCTTTTTTGATTTCCTATCTTTTGATATCAACAGTTTGCTTAAACATAGTATGGAATTGTTTAATTGCATGCCATGTCATTTCATTTTTATCCTTCTAGATTTGATATTTATTTTGATCCTTGCTCTAACAAGTTCTTACCACATCCAGCACTATTTGACTCTCTTTTTGTTTGTTTGTTTGTTTTTTGGCAATTGGGGTTAAGTGACTTGCCCAGGGTCATACAGCTAGTAAGTGTCAAGTGTTTAGTCTGAGGCCGGATTTGAACTCAGGTCCTCTGGACTTCAGGGCCAGTGCTCTATCCACTTGACTTTCTTTTTGAAGCAAGTACTTACATATGAAACTCCTGGGTAGTCTACAAACCTTTGGCCTCTTTCATTTTTTAATTCTTGGGCCATATTTTCCACATTTTTTTTTTGCCATCTACCCTCATGCTGATTTAATTTGGAGGGTCTTATTGAGCTTTTTAAAATAAAATTTATCTACCATCTCAAGATGCAATTATCTTCTTAAAAGTTATTTTAAAATTTTAAACCATTTTGGATTTAACAAACAGAAAAGAGAGTATTTTTATAGGCAAAGTAAAAAAGAAAAGGAAGATTACATGTGAAAAGATGAATCTCCATTATGTACAGCTCGTTTTAGAATATGCTGTTGTTGTTCAGTCATGTCCTACTCTTTGTGACCCTATTTGGGGTTTTCTTGGCAAAGATACTGGAGTGGCTTGCCATTTCCTCCTCCAGCGCATTTTACAGATTTCCTCATCTGAGGCAAAGGGGATTAAGTGATTTGTCCAGGATCACACAGTTATAAGTGTCTGAGGCCAGATTTGAACTCATGAGACTCCAGGCCC